TAAATGGGATTAGTGTAGATTGGTGTTTGTTGGTCGACATAGACATGGTGGGCCAAATGGTCTGTATCTATGCTGTATGACAGTATGACTTAGCAAATAAAAACAAATCATTTGAATTTTGAAGCAAACTGCCTCTAATTCTCATTTCATTGCTATTTTTGTTCTTTTAAACATGTTAATCTCTAATTAGTTACAAAGACAAAATCTCTAATTTTCACCCAGTACCTTTTAAAAAGTACTAACAGCTTAATCAGTAACATGTGTGGAGGAGAAAACAGAGTTAACGTTTCGGGTCCAGTGACCAACTCTGTTTTCTCCTCCACGGATGCTGCCAGACCTGCTGAGCTTTTCCAGCAACTTTGTTTTTGTTCCTGATTTACAGCATTCGCAGTTCTTTTGGTTTTTACTCCCTAATATCTGCCCTTTAGAAAATGCCTACATGTTCACCCCTCAACTCCACAGGAAATCTGATTTTCATCAATACCGAAGGCCAATTCTTGCTTCCTCAGTGTCTCCTCACTTACAGACCTAGTCCATTAGCAGTATTTCAGCAATAAACTGTAGTTGATTCTATGGATTGCTATCACATACCTTACCTCCTTGATCCTCGATTTGGAATCCAGCCTATACTCCTGGCACATCTGATAGCCCAGTTTTTAATCCTAAGTAAACAGCTCTTGTGAAAATGCACAAATTCATTGACCTTATTTGCAGGGCACAACGATGACTGTATAAAAAAACAATTACAATGGAAAAGAAATGTTTTTAAAAAGCCATAGTTGAGGTAGGTAGAGTAAGAGCTTTGTAGCTGCCCAATTTGTGTTGTACTTGGCTGTTAATACTTCTAAGAGCAAAACTATTAAGATTCTCTGAATTGCAACTTCGCAATCTTGAGAACACTCAGCAGCAGTTCCCAATGTGAATTTCAACTCCCGATGGTGTTTATAAGTACCATTTAGGGGCACAAGCCCTTCCAAAGCAGCAACGACAACTGTGGTGAGGAGATTAGCAGGTCTTGAGACTTTGGCAGGACAGCCTGGACTCTCCAGTAAAACATAAGGATTGCACAGTGTGCCAAAAGCATGTTTAACCATTTGAAATGTTTTTAAAACGAGAGCTGAAACTTCCAAGAATGTTGAAAGAAAGAGGCAAAAGTAGGTGCCACATATAATTGCCAAGCGTGTTTACTCCCTTGATGCAAATGATTTTTCTTAAAGTAGTGTTCTGTTTCATTTTTATTTGTTTAATACTGTGACATCTGGGGAGAGTGCAAGGGCAAACCTTGCCATTGGCACCACCTTGTGGCAGCTGTGAAAATGTTGATCTGCTTTTTGAGTCATCAATTAATTGAGGTTGACTTGCTCACCGAGCCGGCTTGTTTTCATTTACAAGTTTCGTTACCATGCTAGGTAACATTATCAGTGAGGCTTCCGATGAAACAATGTTGTTCTACTCCACTTGGAATTTATACTGTCCAGTCTGTTATGGTGGGTTGTGTCATTTCTGGTTTTGTTCTGTATGCGTTTGTATATGGGGTCCAATTCTACATGTTTGTTGATTTGTGTTATGGGTGGAGAACCATGTCTGTAGGAATTCCCGTGCATGCCTGTGTTTGGCTTGGGCTACCATGGTTACATTGTCTAAGTTGAACTGATGTCCTTCATTATTTGAGTGTACTGATATTAGGGAAATTTCATTGTGTCATTTTGCTGCTAGCTAATATTTGCAAAAACCTTAATCATCCATTAGTTTTAACTGAGTTTTGCTTGCAAGCAATGAGTTCTGTATCTGTTGTCAGTACCACTCTGAGTAAAACCTGAACTGTTTTATGACAAAAATCAACTTATAGCTGCCAATGTCTGTGTTAAGATTTCAGTGGACAAGGTTGACATTGAGTAAATTGTAAGAACATGCATTGTATTTGGAAATATAAACTGAAAAATGGAAGTTTGGAATTTTTTTTATACAAGAACCCAAGAAAAGTTGAATATGTGAGTGGTAGCCACTTAATGGTTAAATGACAGCCTGCAACGTTCAGAGAAATTAGAGTTGATATTTTCATGAGACCTGCTGGCTTTGAGTATTAAACAAAAAATCTGCCCCGCAACAGCTTCTGGATTAGTTGTAAGTTGCAATTTGTCACAAACCTGAGGTTTACTTTACTAAAACCTCCACAAGCCTGCAAAAAGCCAAATTCCGCTCTCGCTCTCGCTCTCGCTCTCGCGCTCTCTCTCTCTCTCTCTCTCTCCTGTCACTGACTTTCACCCCCTGGATAAATGAAAACCAAAGCTAAAAGAATTTGAAAAGAAGAATTTCACATTCCAGCAAAGCCTTTGGTCCAACTGATGGCTGCTGAATCAAGGATCACAAGAAAACATTGTGTTAACTCTACCATTTATTGAGATCATGGCTGATCTAATAATCCTCACTGCAGTTTCTTGTTTTTTCCTCATAGCCCTTGTTTGCCTTTACTGTTTAAAAATCTGTCTGTCTCAGCCTTGAATATACTTCTCAATCTATGACAAAATAGAGAAAGCGTTTTGATCATTGGTATCTTTGGCACTAAAATATGAAATTCAATGATGTGTATAAGATGTAACAATTCAACTTGCCTTGCCTTAATGCCAAATATTGTGGTGACAAGTTTTATATCATTAGATTGGGAAGACAAATTGAACGTTAAGTTGCCTTTCTTTAAATATGCATTTTTCCTCTTTTTATTTGGAAAAATATTACTTATTTCATCAATTTGTCATGTACAAAAGATTAGCTATAGCTATAATTTAAAAAGAGTTCTGTTATACACTGAACACCAATGCAGTTCTTAGGATCTGTTTAACTCTGTCAGCTTCTCAATTCTGATAGTATATTACTTTCCTTTTGTGGGTAATTTTTTGACCTCGTGGAGCTGATGATTCTAACAATTACATGTCTAAATTGTTTGCTTTGTAAATTTATTGACTGACAAGGATCAAAAATGTAATATGATGCCAAATAGTATGTTTCAAATATGCACTTGGGTTTTACATGCTAATATCAAATACTCATTTTGAATTATCTCATGCTTACTACTAAAGTAAACTTTGTGCTAAGATGTAACTTTGTTATCTAGGGTGCCTGGAAGCCATCCCTTAATCTTGCTACTGTGTTAACTTCCATTCACTTATTGATGTCAGAACCTAATCCAGATGATCCTCTCATGGCTGATATTGTGAGTTAATTTCTTTTAAAAGATACTGTTTAGGTATGTAATAAATGTTGAGTCAACTCCTTGAAAAGTGAAAGTACTGTGATAGTGAGTAGAAAATGTGCAATGCATAAGTGAAGAGGACTGCAGGCTGACAAATGTTGGGAGCCTGTGCCAGAAACATAGTAAAATGACAGATTAATAACTTTCAGTTCTCAAACAGGTGTTGACACTCAAGTGAATGGAATGCTAAAGTAACAGAAGTAATTGCAGCAGCAGCGGTAAGAATGATGTAAAACCAATGTGGAAAAGACAGTGTCAGGGTATAGGGGTAGGAGAACCCCTGTGACCTTGGGAACTAATTTAATTGAACCTTCATTGTGCCAACTCTAGTGAAAGTATAAGTGCAAGTTTAAATTGTACCCTTCTTTCCCCAGGCGAGTTGTTTGGACAGCACTAACAGTTACTATATACAACTTAATGCAGCAATTTTCATTGGCAGTTAAAGTTCTTTAAAAATAAAAAAAAGAGACAAAGGGCAAGATGTTGTTTACACAAAGCAAAATGACAGCAGTATTTATTGGGCAGCAATTTCCGACCATTCAGAACTTATGGTATTTCTTTTAATCCATTGAACTTCACTTATGCATTATTAATAGCAAACTTTATTAACCCTCTTTTTCTGTCGAGATATAGACTACTATTTATTAGCAAGGATCTGCTGGGCTTTTATTGGGAATAGTTGTTTGTGAAATTGGTGAGAGGTAGTTACTTAAACTGAAAAGAAATACAGTTTGTATATGGCTTGGAGATATATATTAACTGAAAGAATTAGTCTAACTGCATAGGTCTTGGCTTTCTAGTGAAAGTGCAGATCTATGATTTGGTCGGACTATTACGACTTCACATTTTACCTTTTATTTAGTATTGTGGATGGGAGCAAAATTCTGTAACGAAAAATTGATGGATTAAGTGAGATTCTAAACTGTTTCAAAGCAGGTAAGGGTGGGGTCATCCATTTTGCACAAAAAAGGATGGAGTTAAGTCATTTTTAAATGGTGTAGAGCTAGGAATGAAAGAAGTCCAATGTAGAAATCGCCACAGAATGGTGAACTCTATCCCTGTAGGCTTGAAAAGAAAGGGGAAGAAGTTCTTTTTTTTATAAACAGCTTTTCAAAGCCCTGGTCAACCACATGGTGTATCGAGCACAGTTCTAGGCATCTTAAAATGAAGTCACAAAACATGTTTACAGAGCTCTGAGGGTTAAGTCGAGCAGTAGTTGCATTAACTAAACTTGTTTTTCCTGGAATATAGAAAGATAAGAAGTAATTTGATTGAGGTTTTACATTTTGTGAAAGACATTGATAGTAAAGGAAAAAAAACTTTGTAACTTGGGGTCTTAGACAAGAGGACATAACCATAACTTGGAGCAAGACCATTAAGGAGAGAAATCTGAAAGCACTTCTTAACAGAATAAGTAGTAGAAGTGTCAAACCATCTCTCACAGAAAGGAATTGATGCTTATTCATTAATTTAAAATCTGAGATTCCATTTCTGCTTGCAAAAGATGAGGGTTGTGGAGACAAAGTTAGGTTACAGATCATTCATGATTTCATTAAACGGTAGAGGACTGAGTGGCATCTGTTCCTAAAATAAACACATACAGTTTATTTTAATGCAATTATCATTGATCAGCGGCTATATAATAAAATTGCTTCAGATCTACTATTTTCTTTCATATCATTTTAAAATGTAAAAATTAGTTTCAGCTCACAAAAATAGCTGCTCTTTGCCAAATAGTTATGCTTTAATAAAATGCTGGTGGAACAATTCTTGCCAGATGGTAGCATCAGAATTATATAATAAATTTTGAGATCACAGCTGCACATATTGATCAATGCTAAATAATTTCTCTATTACATTTCCAGCAAAAATTACATTTTAAATCCAGGTTCTTTTTGAAAATTTATTTTGTTCACAATTGTCAATGTACTCGAGTATTCCCAATGAAAATAGTTGTTATGATGCCAACATTCTTTATTTGAAAATGATTAGTCTAAACAGTGATTATCTTAATTAAATATTATAAATTGGTTGCATGTTTATAGTTTTTAATTTTCAAGTTACTAGCTTTTGGAAAAGTGGTATACTGATTTCAGGCCTTTAGCGCAGTTTTTTTTTTAAGCTCACAGAGGTCCTCTAGTGTTACAAATTGCTATTACACAGTTTTGTGCAAAATAACTACTTGTAGGGCAAATGAGGTGTGACACAAAATAGCGCCCTTGCACCGATTGATTGTCAAACAACTAACTCAATTTACTTTTAATACACAAAACACAGATTTGAATTTTAAAAAAAGTTTCTGAAAATTGAAGTTAAGCATAATAAATGTAAGTTGTCAAAAGAATGCAAGATTCTATGGAATTCCTACAAGTTCATTGCACAATGCTAAACATGTACAAGTGCTATATATGTTGCTTAACTTAAATTCAGCCTACAAAAAGTGAATTATTGAATAAGTTGAAATGTGAGTTGTTGGTAAGTGGGTGGTAAATCTTTAGCCTTATCAATAAATTACTGATTTTAATTAACACTCGATTTCATGGTGACTTTTTTGGCCCTTGGACCATGCTAAAATGGGATTAAGCATCTCCACGAGTGTTTTATTATTAGAAATAATAAAGTTGGTAACAATTTTTAATGTCTTCTGAAATATCTTAAGCCTTTTCTCGTTCAGATTTTTGCAACTTTAGTTATTACAAGACATTACATCTATTTCACTGATCTGTACTTAATTCTACCAATTTAAAATTGTTGGTATTTATGTGAGCATTTCTATTGTTTTATTTAAGTATATATAAATTTGCTTTTGTATTGTAGTTGGAGCTTTTTGCTGATAATTATAAGACTAAATTGTATGGAGCAATTTATTTTAATTGTAAGCAGTTACATTCTTTTTTTATATCCTTCCAATGCTTTTAAGTTTTGGCGGAGACAGCCAACAAGCTGGTACTTGCCAATAGGCAAAGATCCCTGTTTGAATTGAGTGTGTTTTCTATTCGCCTTTCAGTTGTACTACAAACTAGTAAATGCATTCTAAAGATAGAATTAACTGCTTAATATAGTTTTTCCTTTTTGTTTCAGTCATCTGAATTCAAATACAACAGACAGTCTTTTTTGGAGAATGCAAAACAATGGACATTAAAATATGCAACACCAGCAAAAAAGGATGAGGTATGTTTACAGTTTCTCAACTTGTGGGGTTATGGGTGAAATGTGTAACTTTGTATTCATGGGACATGCCAAAACTGCTTTGTAAATAACTGCAAAATACACAAGGGCATAATTCCAAAGTGGCTGCTCTTTTTTTTTTTTTCCCTTTTTGCGTCCTGAACTGGTGGTTGGCAACTTAGTTTGCAGGGAATTCAATTATACAGCTATGATTTAAAGGTTTATACCTGTAAACTTTTGAAATAAAAACCATAAAACACTAATGAAAAGCTCACCATCTTGGTTAATAAAAATGGTTTGAAAACACTAAAAATGATTGATCCAACATTTTCTCCTATACTCACAAATTAAAAACATATACTACTCAGTAGTTCAATCAATTTAATAGAAAATCTGGTTCTGGTCCAGCTAGGGCAAGAAAGATGCAAGGTTGCTGCCTTATTTGTATCTGAGTTAACCAGTATCGGTTAGAGACAGGTTACACGGCTGGTATCAGTTTTGGCTGAGTTTGGTGAAAGGAATGAGCCAGAATTCGCGTTCCTGACTTCTATTTATTAATTTTTGCTGCAGTGTGTTGATATCAAGATGTTGGACAAGGCTGTAGCATGCTCTAGCTAAGCTTTAATACCTTCTGTTTGAATAGTTTAGCAATTCACTATCAACTCAAAATCATCATAAATGGTTATTAATTTTCTCTCCACATAACAATAAATGCTGATTCATGGAGAACTATCATCATCATCAGAATGCAAGAGAAATTGTCGAGAAAGGAGTGAAATAAGTGTTTTTTTTTACAAAGTTCTTGAGTCTCTCCTATTCAAACCCAGAAAGCTTTAAGCTTATAGTGTTGTCCTTTCGTTAAAACACCTTCTGTTTATGTAATAAATTTTGTGACTGCATGCTGTCAATCTAACAATGGTATTCTGTATGATGTTTGCCAAGACCTATGCAGTTAGACTAATTCTTTCAGTTAATATGTATCTCCAAGCCACAAACTGTATTTCTCTTCAGTTTAAGTAACTACCTCTCACCAATTCCACAAACAACAACTATTCCCAATAAAGGCACAGCAGATACTTGCTAATAAATAGTAGTCTATATCTCGATTGGAAAAAGAGGGTTAATAAAATTTGCTATCAGTAATGCATTAATGAGCTAGCAAGTTCAATGGATTAAAGGAAATACCGTAGTTCTGAATTGTCAGAAGTTGCTGCTAAATAAATACTGCTGTCATTTTGCTTTGTGTAAACAACATCGCGCCCTTTGTCTCTTTTTTTATTCTTAAGAACTTTAACTGCCGATGAAACCTGCTGCATGAAGTTGTATATAGTAACTGTTAATGCTATCCAAACGACTCGCCTGGGCAAAGACGGCTACAATTTAAACTTGCACTTATACTTTGACTAGAGTTGGCACAATGAAGGTTCAATTAAATTAGTTCCTAAGGTCATGGGGATTCTTCTATGATGAGAGGCTATACAAATGCTCACTCTTCATTGTGATTGGAAGAATGAGAGGCAATCTCTTTGAAACATACAAGATTTCTGAGGGAGCTTAATGGAGTGAATGCTGAAGGATTGTTTTTGCTGGTCGAGGAGTCTAAAACATGGGAACATAACCTTCGGATATGAAGCTGATGGTTTAGGACTGAACTAAGAAATTATTTCACTCAAGTCATTGTGAATCTTTACAATTCTATGTATCAGAGTTGCACATGCTCCATCATTTAATGCATTTAAAGCTAGGTTAAACAGATTTTTGGTGTCTTGGGGATTAAAGGATATGTAGAGTAGGCAGCACAATGGAGTTGAAGCCCAGAACAGGTGTGCTCATATGTGATGGTAGGGCAGGCTTGATGAGCTATATGGTTCACTCCTCCTCCAATTCCTTGAGTTCTATTCTGTCTCCTGTATATGATAAAGTATGAGATTTTTTAGAAATGATCTTTCTGTCCCTGACTTAACAAATTCAAGATCTTATTTGTTGTTCTACTCAAGCAAGATCCAGATAAAATTGCATGTGCATGCCAGACTATTTGGTTTCTCTGTGAATTGAGAATTACTGCCAAAGTATAATTTGCACACTATATGGCGTGTGTATATGTGCAATGGAGGTTTGGAGTTTTACAAACAATGTGACATTTATTTGGCAATATCACAATTCTACTATTCACTAAGTAATATTGCTCAATGACTTAATTTACACTCATCAGAAGTGGGATGAGTAAGTCTGGGCCTAAATGGATGACTTGAAACCTTTTATTCCTTATTTTAGATATCTAGCTGCCTGAAGGAGAATCAGAGCCATGTTGAAGACCAGAATCACAGCCAGCTTGTGAATAAGAATACACCAGTATCAAGAAAGAGATCTGCCTGTGATTCTGAAAATGCTAAGAAATTTTGTTTATAAATAATGTGGTACTTGTGTTTGTGTTTTGATGTTATCTTTTAAAGTTTTTGTAACTAACCTGTAAATTTGTTGCTTATGTGGTTTCATAAATGTAGTTTTTGGCAATGACAATAAATTACCAATTAGTGGTGACAAAGAAAACAGATGAGTAAATGATTTATTTTTCTCTGTAGGTGCTGCTCAATATTTCCAGTATTGTTTTTATTTTAGGTTTTCAGTACCTGTGGTATTCTGGCTTTTTACTAAATTGAATAAGTCTTGATGAGGTGCTTGGACTGAATTATCTTGATCAGTGCTATAAATTTATGATTCTGTGTGTAGATGCCTTCTCCTCACCTATTTTAATAAAAGAGGGCAGGGAAGGGTTAGGGTTTACCACTTACACAGGGCATGAAGACTGCCAGAGAGGTAGGGATTCCAATACCAGTTGTTCTCTGGCAATAGAGTAATATTACCAAAGTAACAAAGCCAGTTGAGTGACTATGATTCCTTTCACCACCCCACTAACAAATATTTGACCTGGGGTGGAATGGGGCCAGAAACTCAGCATGGAATTTCATGCCATGGCTGTCCTTTATGTCCAGGTGGAACCTAAACATTCAATCCTAAGCATACCTCTTTAAATTATGGTATGACTGTCTTAAGCAGTATAAAAACTTTTAAGGGCACTTTCCATTCTTAAACTATCAAGAGGATTGAGAAGAATGCCAGATGTGATTTGGTGCTTGATAGGAAAGGTAGGCAGGTACCCCAAGACCAGAAACAATGTGCAACATAATGAGGACAGAAATGCCTGTAGTTGTGAGGCCTGTACAGAGATTGGAACCAGCTCAGTGTCATGAGATGCCCTAGAACCAGGACAGAGAACAGATGTAACTGATCTAAAATCGCAGTTGGGGGTGACTGGCAGCTATCCGAAGACTCACTGAGGCAACAGGCACCGGTGTACAGTGATATTAGGAGATACTTTTTTATTCTAGTAAAACTTCAAAATTGCCAAGCTTCAAGAGAAGATTTGGTAAAGAGTGACAGTATTTAGGAGAAATACAGTTAATTGCATTAATAGATAGTATTGATTGATGCCTTGATGATAGCATTTTCTCTCATTTGTGTTTTAGTAGTAGTTCTGTTTGGTTGATAAAATTCTGATGGCTTCAGTTGAAGTTGACATCCTTTACTGTGTAATGTAGATTGGATCAAAAAGCCTAATTTTGCAGCAGCCAGTTCCACACAATCCCATAAGAATTAATTTAACAGTCATCCAGCAGAACAAAGCATTCATGAAATCAGTGAAAGCCTCATTAAATAATTTCACAAATAAAACAAATCTGGCAAAAACTTAAAACCATATGTGGCATAATAGAATGCATGTCAAGCTAACAGTGTACTAAGCAAAACAAACTACTTCATATGCTGCCTTTAGTCTGCTGATCCTTCTGTTGTGCCAGTGAATAACCTGATGTTAGTCTACTTGTCTAGCTACCAATTCAGAAACTGAACCAAACTAGGAAGAGGGGAAACTGAATTGAAATGTTTTTGGGAAGGATGCGTGGTAGAGGAGGGGAAAAAAGGAAGAATTTGGTAACTCTTTTTGAAAAATGATTTGAAAATCAACTCTCAAATGTGACTTACTTAAAAATGTTAAACTCACATGCCAGGTCATTCGTAGCAGCTTGTATGACAGCTTGAACCACAGACATCTTATGATATTAGTCACTGCAGTAAAACAGGAAATAATAACACTAGCTTTTGCAAATTAAGTTGTTGCTGGCTTGAATGACCAGCAATTAAACTTCTTGTTTGACCATGGGGGAAAAAAAAATTAAAAAGCAAGTTTCGAAACATTGCTTCAACAATCTGCAAAGTGTTTTTGAAAAACAATGTGGGAATAGATCTGTAAAATCTGATTTGCCTGATAATTGTGTTGCGTGATGCACTCCAGGAGAAATAACCTTCTATTAGGCTATGAGACAAATCTACATCGTACGACCTATCAGAACTATGCCACTACTTGTGAAGAAAAGTGAAATAAAAGTGAGAACTTTAATTTTCCAGGCCATACCCTTATTAAAAGCCTGAAGATTCAATTGTAGCACACTAACCATAATCTAATTTGAGGAGCCGTGGGGGGGGGGTCAGTTCTTGAGCCCACAATTGTTCATGAAATAGGTATGTCCAGTAGTATCCTCTGGAACTGACCCCACTTAAGTTGGATTATTATTTAGCTATAGTGCGACAGCTAACTCACAAGTACTGTATTTTAATGTGACTTTTAACATAGTTTATTACCTCAAGGAGATTCATAAGAATCTTACCAAGCAAAATCAGCTACTGAACCAAAAGAGATATTAGATGATGAAAACCTTGCTCAAAGAGTAGGTTTTATGAAGCCTCTTAAAGGAGGAGAGACGGGTGGAGTTTTAGGGAAGATATTTCAGAGGTTAAGACCTAGGCAGCTGAAGGCACAGTCCCAATACTGAAATAATCAAAATAAGGGATACATGAGAGGCCAGATGTGAAGGAGCACTGAGATCTTGGAAGGTTGCAGGACTAAAGAGGTATGAGATACAAAGATTGCAAAGTATCATCGTAGGATTTGAAAACTGATGAGAATTTTGAAATAGTATTGCTGGACTTGGACTGGAGGCCAATGTAGATTTGTAGATTCATACAGTGCTGAAAAGGCTCATTGAGTCTGCACTGAAATAACTACCACTAGAAGTATGCTAATCCCAAATTCCTACACTTGTCCCATGTCCCTGAATGTTATGATATCTCAAGCGCTAATCCATATGTTTTTTAAAGGTTTCCAGCCTCCACACCCCTTCCCAGGCAGTGCATTCCAGATTCCCACCACTCGCTAAGTGAAAAGGTTATTTCTGAGACCCCTGCTGAATTTCTTGCATCTTACCCTAAAGTTATGCGCTGTCATGATTGACCCCTCAACCATGGTGTACAGCTGCTCTCTATCCTCCCTGTCCATACCCCTCATAATCTTCTACACCTCAGTTGTGTTCCCCCTCAGTCTTCTCTGCTCTAAAGAAAACAATTCAAGCCTGTCTAGTCTCTCCTCCTAACTCAATTTCTCCATTGAAGGCAACAGCCTAGTGAACCTCCTCTGTACCCCATCTATTTCTATCAGATCCTTCCTGTAGTGAGGTGATCAGAACTGCAGACAGTACTCCAGCTATGGTCTACCAACACTGTACAATTCCAACATTACCTCCTTGCTTGTCAAAATCTTTGCATAAATCCATATAAACCACATCAACTGAACTTCCCTCATCCACACATTTTCAAAAAAATTCTAACAAATTTGTTAGGCATGACCTACCTCTGAAAAAGCCATGCTGACTATCCCTAATTAACCCATGCCTTTCCAAGTGGATATTAATTCTCTCCTTCAGAATTTTCTCCAATAGTTGCCCGATCACTGATGTGAGACTCACCGGTCTATAATTTCCTTGTTCATCTCTACCACCCTTCTTGAGAAGAGGAACCATGCTAGCCATCCTTCAGTCCTCTGGCACTTTCCCTGTGGCCAGCGAGGAATTAAAAATTTGTGTCAGAGCGCCTGCAATTTCCTGCCTCGTCTCCCACAGCAGCCTGGGATACAATTCATCCAGGCCAGGGGATTTGCCCATTTTAAACTTGACAGAGCCTCCAATACCTCTCCATTTCCTGTGTCAAACTGTGTAAGTTCCTCGTAGTCCTTTTTCCCAAATTCCATATCTGCCCATGTAGGGCAGTAAGCACAAGGCTGCTGCCAAAAGTGGACATTGTGTGAACTAGGGTGTGGTTGACAGAATTTAGTTTGAACTTGAGTTTATAATGTAATAATGAAGAATGTTCAGAAGATGTGAAATGCAGTCAAAATGAATGCCTTCTAATCAAATGCTTCCATTATTATTTAAAGGATAAACTTTGCATATGTCCCTAGAATAGTCAAATGCTTAGCCAGAAGTGAAGCATGCAGATTTTTTATGCTGATGTTTAACAGTTCGTTTTTTTTTTAAGGTCATTTCCTTCACCATCCTGGAATCAATTTGATGCCAGGCAGATGCAGTTTTACCAACAGCACAATGTCTACATGTTGTTCCTCAGAATTGTTAAGCAACCCCCTTCCCTGCCCTCATTTCTTCAAGAATGAGAATCACTGTAGCTGCTTTCTCCAGAGACTTTTTCAAAAATCTGTGATGCTGGAATTATTGCTCAAAATTCTTGAGAAACTAGCTTCAATTATCTTCCTCCTATCCTGTGACTCAGGATAGAACTTTTGAGACATGTTGCAATGGAATTGAAAAGTACTCCATGAAGCTATTGTTACAATGTTATGTGATAGAGGGCAAATCAAAAACATACAATCATCGCACATGAGGCAATACTAAGAATTCCAAAGATCTTGGCTTAGTTTCAAAAGGATTCAAATTCCATTCTTATCAATGTAGTACATGCATTTGAGTCATTCTTTGAAAATGAACATGATAAATGAGACCTGTAGCATTTAGTATAGTCAGAGAAAATAATCCAATTTGGACGTGTCCAATTAATTCCTGCACTCATGATAAATTTGTTCTATGTTGATTAGCTTGCTGCCTTATTTAGTTGAGCCATATTTTGCTGGAAAACCAATGGCATGTTGATATGAAAATCAGCAAGCAATTTCAGTGGGCGTATCATGAATTGGGAATCTAGAGAACTTTGTTTAGTTTAAATTCTTTCATAGATGTAGCTTTGTTGGCAAGGTGAACTTTTGTTACCCATTCCAAATTGTACTTCAGAAAGTGTTGGTGAACTGGCTTCTTGAACTATTGTAGTCTATGTGATGTAGTTACATGCACAGTAAGTGGGTTAATTTGTACCACTCTAACACTTCCTTTGCAGAAGCTGCAACTCGTTCTGAGCTTTCCATTATTTTTAAGAACTTGCTTGATTTGCACATTAATGTGCAACACCCTGGCAACATCCCTGTAAATCTTTTGTGAACCCTTTCAAGTTTCACAACATCCTTTCTTTAGCAGAGAAGCCAGAAGTACATGCAGTATTCCAAAAGTGGCCTAACCAATGTCCTGTACAGCTGCAGCCTGACCTCCCAATTCCTGTATTCAATGCACTGATCAATATAGGCAAGCATACCAAAC